CAAGGAGCACTGTGCAAGCAATTATATTGAAATGGAAGGAGTATCAGACCACTGCAAATCTACCAAGACCCGGCCGTCCCTCCAAACTTTCATCTCAAACAAGGAGAAGACTGATCAGAGATGCAACCAAGAGGCCCATGATCACTCTGGATGAACTGCAGAGAACTACAGCTGAGGTGGGAGAGTCTGTCCATAGGACAACAATCAGTCGTGCACTGCACAAATCTGGCCTTTATGGAAGAGTGGCAAGAAGAAAGCAATTTCTCAAAGATATCCATAAAAAGTCTTGTTTAAAGTTTGCCACAAGCCACCTGGGAGACACACCAAACATGTGGAAGAAGGTGCTCTGGTCAGATGAAACCAAAATCGAACTTTTTGGCCACAATGCAAAACGATATGTTTGACGTAAAAGCAACACAGCTCATCACCCTGAACACACCATCCCCACTGTCAAACATGGTGGTGGCAGCATCATGGTTTGGGCCTGCTTTTCTTCAGCAGGGACAGGGAAGATGGCTAAAATTGATGGGAAGATGAATGGAGCCAAATACAGGACCATTCTGGAAGAAACCCTGTTGGAGTCTGCAAAAGACCTGAGACTGGGACGGAGATTTATCTTCCAACGGGACAATGATCCAAAACATAAAGCCAAATCTACAATGCAATGGTTCACAAATAGACGTATCCAGGTGTTAGAATGGCCAAGTCAAAGTCCAGACCTGAATCCAATCGAGAGTCTGTGGAAAGAGCTGAAGACTGCTGTTCACAAACGCTCTCCATCCAACCTCACTGAGCTCCAGCTGTTTTGCAAGAAAGAATGGGAAAGAATTCCAGTCTCTCGATGTGCAAAACTGATAGAGACATACCCCAAGCGACTTGCAGCTGTAATTGCAGCAAAAGGTGGCGCTACAAAGTATTAGCGCAAGGGGGCCGAATAATATTGCACGCCCCACTTTTCAGTTTTTTATTTGTTAAAAAAGTTTAAATTATCCAATAATTTCGTTCCACTTCACGATTGTGTCCCACTTGTTGTTGATTCTTGACAAAAAAATACATTTTTATATTTTTTATGTTTGAAGCCTGAAATGTGGCGAAATGTTGAAAAGTTCAAGGGGGCCGAATACTTTCGCAAGGCACTGTAGGCTTGAAGGAGAGTTCTTGGTCGAAAATGACTCCAAGATTCCTCACAGTGTTACTGGGTATAATACTCACATTATCGAGAGTGATTATCTGGTTAGTGAGGGAGTCACGCAGGCGCTTCGGACCGAGTAGGATCCCTTCTGTCTTCTCCGGGTTGAGAAGTAGGAAGTTAAGAGTCATCCACGTTTTATGGTCCTTTATGCAGGCACTAAGCTTTTCCAGCTAATCTGTCTGATTTGAAATTTAAAGCCGGATTTGGATATAAAAAGATTTCCCAAGCTTTAAACATCTCAAGGAGCACTGTGCAAGCAATTATATTGAAATGGAAGGAGTATCAGACCACTGCAAATCTACCAAGACCCGGCCGTCCCTCCAAACTTTCATCTCAATCAAGGAGAAGACTGATCAGAGATGCAACCAAGAGGCCCATGATCACTCTGGATGAACTGCAGATAACTACAGCTGAGGTGGGAGAGTCTGTCCATAGGACAACAATCAGTCGTGCACTGCACAAATCTGGCCTTTATGGAAGAGTGGCAAGAAGAAAGCAATTTCTCAAAGATATCCATAAAAAGTCTTGTTTAAAGTTTGCCACAAGCCACCTGGGAGACACACCAAACATGTGGAAGAAGGTGCTCTGGTCAGATGAAACCAAAATCGAACTTTTTGGCCACAATGCAAAACGATATGTTTGACGTAAAAGCAACACAGCTCATCACCCTGAACACACCACCCCCACTGTCAAACATTTATGCAGGCACTAAGCTTTTCTAGCTGATCTGTCTGATTTGGCTTCATCGACAGATAAAGCTGTGTGTCATCTGCATAGCAGTGGAAATTAATTCCATGCTTTTTAATAATGTTTCCTAACGGCAGCATGTAGAGAGTGAAAAGAATCGGTCCGAGTACCGAACCCTGCGGCACACCGAATTCCACTCCAGAATAAGGCGACAAGTTCTGATTTACGTTGAAGTGATACCGATCTGATATAGGATTTAAACCAGCCAAGGGCTGTTCCACTAAGACCTATATCACATTCTAGCCTCTGCAGTAGAATGCTGTGGTCTATTGTGTCAAATGCAGCACTAAGGTCCAGTAGGACCAGCACTGACACTTAGCAGCTAGTAGTAAGTCATTTGTGACTTTGACTAGTGCCGTTTCAGTGCTATGATGAGCTCTGAATCCTGATTGAAAAACTTCAAACATATTATTTTCCTGCAGGTGGCAGCAAAGCTGTTCAGCTTTAAGTTTTTTCCAGGATTTTAGATATGAAAGTGAGGTTCGAGATTGGTCTGTAGTTTGTAAGTATTTCACACACAGTTTCAATCTGACTAGGTTCTGAGGCTAGTAACTGAGCACACACAGGCACACACACACAGTTTCAATCTGACAAGCTTCTGAGGCTAGTAACTGCTCCCATCTCTGTGTAGAGTGAGAGGACAAGTGCCCCAAAAATAACAATTGTAAACCGCTTTGTGACTCTGGTCTGTGAAAGGCCGTATATAAATAATGATTACTTACTTACTTACTTAAAATCACTCCACTGGCTCCCTGTGGAGTACAGAATAAAGTTTAAAATCCTTCTCTTAACATACAAAGCCATAAATGGCTTGGCTCCTTATCTTCAAGACACGTTAGTGTCATATCAACCAAACCGAGCATTGCACTCGCAAAACACCAGACGTCTGGTGGTTCCTAAGGTCTCAAAAAGCACTGTCCAGTATGTGCCATCGGCCCCTCCGACCATCACCAATCATTCACATCAGACTCATTCTAAGCAATGGGGGTGAAGTGTCTTGCCAAGGACACAACAACAGCAGACATCAGTGGGAGTCGATGGTGAAAGTCTTGAGATGGGCACAACCCTCTGGCTCAAAGGCCAATGCTCTACCAACTGAGCTACTGTCGCCCCTAAATAATAATATGAAGGGCTTATTGCACTTGTTTCAAAATTGTCCAAGCTTTAAACATTTAAAACAAGCACATTTTTCTATCAAAAAACAAATGTCACTGTGTTGTTGTTCAGTAAAATTTTGACAGAAGTTCAGTGAATGAGTTTGATTGCAGAATAAAATTTCAAATGTATTTGTACTTTCACTAGAGAAATTTGTCGCACATTGACTGTAAAGTTTTCATGTCTTGGCCTTGGGATTAAAAATTCAGTGGGTTTGACACGATCTGAAGGTTGTGTCTGAAGATCATCAAAGATTGGGTCGGAAAATATTTTCACTTGTCTTTCAATAAAATTTACAATGTCTGCAAATGCAGGTATGCGATGCTCAGTCTCTTGAATGTCACATGCAATGTTTCTGAATTGCTGTTTCATTTGATGGAAGCTTTGAGATTATAGTCCTCATATTTGATGACATGCTCAGTTCATTTAGATTTGTCAGGTCAAGCATAGCATTGCTACATCCACGAAGAAATAAAGCATAATCTTGTAATAATGTTACATTTTCTGTTTTGATGGTTGGTCAGTTGAGGAGTAGTTGGGGAGTCGTTTTGAATGTCAGACAGGACTCTAGATCAATCTAATATGAGTGTGAGAGAAATAGTCTTCATCGCCGATTGTATTATGCCTTCAGAGTTTTTAGTTAAGTCTAATAGTGACGTGGTCCCCCCTGGGGACCCAAAAAAGGTCCATAGGAGGTGATGAGGGAGTCTTTGGTGGAGGGGGAGGTGGTTGAGGAAACCCCAGCACAGGCCTATCTGCTGTCGCCTTGGGTGATGATGAGCTTCAGAGGAGCTGTAGGTGGAGAAGGCATGACTGCTTCTGAGCGGGCTGGGGATGAAGATGGTGGTGGTGCTGCTACTGGTGATGATGCAAGCAGTTGATGCTGATGACTGTAGAGGTGTTGAGATCTTTCGAGGTAGAGTTGCAGAGACCTTTGGAGTTGGTGGAGATGGTTGTGTTGTTGCCAGAGAAGCACTTTGCTTCTTCCTTCCTTTCGATGGCTGCACGCCATGCACGAAGGGTGACGTCTCAGTGCAAAAACAAGGTTATCCATCAACACTCCGCAAGTGTTCAAATGTGGTTCTTATCCTAGTCCAGAACAGATTAAAGTTCTCAATGAAGGCATGTCCTTGTGTGAACATGCATTGAATAGAAAAGTATTTGGCTGATACAGATGACTGAATTTCATTTGCTTTCCGTCAACATTTGGTAGTGGTCCACAAATAACAATATTTAAGTCAATTTTTGCAAGGTCTTCCAATAGTAGAGACATTTCCATTATCAATTGTTCACTTGTCTTCTCAGAGATTTCTACTGCCCCTTGTGGATCATCAATCTATTTTCGCCACGGTTTTCTGATAGGAGCTTTGGTCTCAACGCTCTCATCCACTTTTGCAGAGTGTACCGAAAATGTTTCCATACCACATATGTTTACATTCCTGATGGCGCTATCTCTGATGAGCATTGTTTCAGCAACATTTGACCTTGACTGAGTGGTAAGATGTGGCAAGCTCATAGAGACTTATCCAAAGCGAGTTGGAGCTGTGATTGCCGCAAAAGGTGGCTCTACAAAGTATTGTCTTTAGGGGGGTGAATAGTTATGCACATTGAGCTTTTCTGTTATTTTGTCCTATTTGTTGTTTGCTTCACAATAAAAAGACAACATCTTCAAAGTTGTGAGCATGTTCTGTAAATTAACTGATGCAAATCCTCAAACAATCCATATTCATTCCAGGTTGTGAGGCAACAAAACACACAAAATGCCAAGGGGGGTGAATACTTTTGCAAGGTACAGTATAGTAAATATTGGGACAGGCCTATCTCAAAACAACTCGAGGTCTGTTTTGATGAGGAACAATGTAGTAGCATGGTCAAAAGCTCAGAAAAGTAAGTGCCGCTGTCTGACCTGTAGTGTTGTGACAAGAGCAGAGGCCTCCACCGGACCCTCCTCCACCTCCCCCCCCTTCAGCCTGGACAGCTTCACCTGCACCTTCCTCTGGGACAGGGACAGCTCTACCTGTGCATAACCAGTACACGGCTCACATTACAGAGCGACCAAGAAAACAAACGTTTAGAACAACTCAAAATGTGAAACTCACCAGCCGACTCTGAACCGCGCTCTGGGACTGGCTGAAAGACTTGTGCAAATCCTGCAGGAGGCTTTCGGAGGTTTCGACCTGAGTTTGTAACGCTGACATCTAAAAGTATAAAAAATAAGAATATTTATATTATTAAAGCAAAGGAAGGTTTCTCACCCATAGTCTGAACTTTTTTCAAGGGAATAAAATCTCCAGCACGCGGTCTGAGATTTCATTCCCTTGAAAAAGTTCTTTGAATTAAGGACGAAACGTCGGGAAAACCTGCTAAGAAGTTCAGATGATGGGTGAGAAACCCTCCTTTGCTTTGACTAATTCCTGAACGACTGAGAGCTTAAACAAACATTTATATTATATTTTTATTTTTATATTTATTATACATTTATATGTTAAAGTAACATATTTTTTTATTATAAGACGCCGTTTTTGTCATAGTTTGGCAGGGGGTGCAATCTATACTCTAAAGGCAATTTTTTGTGTGAAATTAAACTTTATATTTTACATTAAACTTTTTATTTACTGTGAAATATCCAATTTTAGCCCGGACTATAAAGTTGACCGATTAAGCTATTAAAAATGAGATTCTATTGCAACTTATACAAGTTGTTTTCCTTCTTTATTATGCATTTATGGGCCGTCCCAATTCTGAAGGCATTCAAGCGGAGACTGCCCTCCCATAAGGGGTGCACAGGATAGTCTCCCTAAGAAATGGGACACCCATGGATCTAGGAGACAATATGCAATGTGGCATAGCAAACTTTCTTTATGAAACAAAGTAATTATTAAAGTGAGACGTTTAATTGTATTTCATATGAAGAAGATTTGAATCCCATACTGCCGGTGTCCACCACCGGGTTCAGGACCTTGCAACCTTGCAACCACAGCTACGAGCTGGCGCAACGGTGATAGAGGAAGAGAACATGGTCCACTCAGACTTGATGTCCCCCTCCCTTCTCTCCGGGACCTGGGAGAAGCTCTCCCGGAGGTGTGAGTTGAAGATCCGTCTGACGGGGGCTCAGCGAGACGTTCCCAGACGGACCTTCAACTCACACCTCCGGGAGTTAAAGCTTGGGTCTGCCAGGTTTGACCGGTTTCCTCCCCTGCCAGCGGATCCAACTCACAACCAGGTGGTGATCGGTTGACAGCTCCACCCCTCTCTTCACCAGAGTGTCCGAGTGTTCATCGACCTCCGACCTAGGGTGTCCTGGTCTAGGGTGTCCTGGTGCCACGTGCACTGGTGGACACCTGTCGGGTTCAGATCAGGGGGGCCGTTCTTCCCAATCACCCCTCTCCAAGGGTCACTGGCATTTCCCACATGGGCGTTGAAGTCCCCCAGGAGAATAACGGAGTCCCCGGGCGGTGCAGTGTCCAGTATCCCTCCAAGGGACTCCATGAAGGTCGAGTACTCAGCACTGCTGTTAGGCCGGTAGGCCGTCACAACATCACAAGCGCCCCCAACCCTGAGACTCGCCTCACTTGATGACATTACAAGCCGTGGTTGAGCACAATAAAGATACATATTAGTTGTCGAAAATACAATTTATGACATTACAAGCCGTAGTTGAGCACGATAAAGATACGTATTTGTTGTCAAAAATACAGTTTATGACTGTATGTCTCAACTGTAGACATACAGTCATTCATTTTCTACCCCTTTATTAGTCCATTTCTGGGTCTGGGGGGTGACCAGGAGAGCTCATAGCACCAGTCCCTCGCTGATCCTCTGCAGGTGGTGAGTACACAGGAAGATGGCTGCTACATTAGTGGTGCCAGAGGCAATGTGCAATAAATTCTTATTACTATTTTCACATTTAAACAAACTTCAAAATCTTAAACCAGTGCTTGTTTCATGTTGCCTTTGGACCTGAAATAGCAGACTAATATGAAATGTAATACTTTTTTTTTTTTTTAAAGTCCTACCTGTTTGTGTGTTTGGTTGGTCTGTGTGTCCAGGTCTCGCTCCAGATTCTCCTTCTCAGACTCTAGCCGGGTCACCTCTGCTTGTAAATCTGACAACTAACAAAAACAAGCATTTTCTAATTAAACAAAAAAGATTACATGGCACACATTAGGAATGTTAAGTAAAATTGTGAAAAATACATTACAATAATGTTACCAGAAATTAAGCTTTGTATTCAATGTAAAGGCAATTTGCACATGTATTTGAGCCAATGACTAGGTTTGCAGAGAGAACTACTCTGCAAAAGCAGCCTCGAGAAAATTGAAGCTAAAACACATTAAATACATTTTCAATTTAAGAGATTATTTAAACTCCCCTGGACTGCCACCTTAACGTGGTGGGGGAGTTTGAGTACTCGGGTGATCCTGGGAGCTATGCCGTCTGGGGCTTCATGCCCCTGGTAGGGTCTCCCATGGCAGACAGGTCTCGGGTGACGAGTCAGACGAAGAGCAGTCAGAAGCAAACATGGACAGCACGAACAGAAGAACCGTGACGTCGTCCGGCATGGCGCAGCCGGGGCCCCACCCTGGAGCCAGGCCTGGGGTCGGGGCTCAAATGAGAGCGCCTGGTGGCCGGGCCTTGGCAGCCCGAAGGGATGACGTGGGCAGTCCCTCCTGTGGGCCCACCACCTGCAGAGGGGTCCGTGGTGGAGAGGTGCAGAGAGGACTGGGCAGCAGTCGAAGCGGAGACCTCAGCGACCCAGTCCACACACCCAACATCTGGCTCTTGGGACGTGGAACGTCACCTCACTGGGGGGAAGGAGCCCGAGCTCGTGGGGGAGGTAGAGCGATACCGACTAGAGATAGTCGGCCTCTCCTCCACACACAGCTTTGGCTCTGGAAACCAACTCCTTGAGAGGGGTTGGACGCTCCACTTTTCTGGTGTTTCTCGCGGGGAGAGGCGGCGAGCTGGGGTGGCCATTCTCATTGCCCCCCATCTCAGCCGCCACGTGTTGGAGTTCTCCCCGGTGAATGAGAGGGTCGCGTCCCTCCGCCTTCGGGTGGGGGACAAGTCTCTCACTGTTGTGACGGCCTACGGGCCTAACAGCAGTGCAGAGTACCCGGCCTTCTTGGAGTCCTTGGGAGGGGTGCTGGACGGTGCACCAACCGGGGACTCCGTTATTCTCCTGGGGGACTTCCAACGCCCATGTGGGAAATGCCAGTGACACTTGGAGAGGGGTGATTGGGAAGAACGGCCCGCCCGGTCTGAATCCGAGCGGTGTTCAGTTGTTGGACTTCTGTGCCAGTCACGGTTTGTCCATCACGAACACCATGTTTGAGCACAAGGGTGTCCACCAGTGCACGTGGCACCAGGACACCCTAGGCCGGAGGTCAATGATCGACTTTGTTGTCGTATCATCTGACCTTCGACCGAGTGTCTCGGACACTTGGGTGAAGAGAGGGGCGGAGCTGTCAACCGATCATCACCTGGTCGTGAGTTGGATCCGCTGGCAGGGGAGGAAACCGGTCAGACCTGGCAGGCCCGAGCGTGTAGTGAGGGTTTGCTGGGAACGTCTCGCTGAGCCCCCTGTCAGACGGACTTTCAACTCACACCTCCGGGAGGGCTTCTCCCAGGTCCCGGCGGAGGAGGGGGACATTGAGTCCGAGTGGACCATGTTCTCTTCCTCTATCGCCGGTGCGGCGGCTCGTAGCTGTGGTCGCAGGGTCTCTGGTGCTGGTCCCGGCGGCAATCCCCAAACCCGGTGGTGGACACCGGCAGTAAGGGATGCCGTCAGGCTGAAGAAGGAGTCCTATCGAGCAATGATGGTACATGGGACTCCTGAGGCATTTGTCCAGTATCGGCAGGCCAAGCGCGCTGCGGCCCGGGCTGTTGCAGAGGCAAAAACCTGGGACTGGGAGGAGTTCGGAGAGTCCATGGAGCATGACTATCGGTCGGCCTCGAAGAGATTCTAGTAAACCGTCCGGCGCCTTAGGAGGGGGAAGCAGTTCTTTGCCAACACTGTGTACGGTGCGGGTGGAGGGTTGCTGACCTCAACTGGGGATATTGTCGGGCGGTGGAAGGAATACTTCGAGGTTCTCCTCAATCCCCCTGTCACGTCCTCCGCCCCGGAGGCAGAGGCTGAGGATGTTGGGGCGGATACTTCCATCTCCCTGGCAGAGGTCACCAAGGTGGTTGGCAGCCTCCATGGTGGCAAGGCGCCGGGAGTGGATGAGATCCGTCCTGACTATCTAAAGTCTCTGGTTGTTGTAGGACTGTCTTGGCTGACACGTCTCTGCAACATCGCGTGGCGATCGGGGGCGGTGCCAATGGAGTGGCAGACCGGGGTGGTGGTCCCTCTCTACAAGAAGGGGGACCGGAGGGTGTGTTCCAATTATCGTGGGATCACACTCCTCAGCCTCCCTGGTAAGGTTTACTCCAAGGTACTGGAGAGGAGGCTACGGCCGATGGTCGAATCTCGGATTCAGGAGGAGCAGTGTGGTTTTCGTCCCGGTCGCGGAACACTGGACCAGCTCTATACACAATACTACTCCCATGAACTCGAGAGTTCATTTGAGTTCGCCCAACCTGTCCACATGTGCTTTGTGGATTTGGAGAAGGCGTTTGACCGTGTTCCCCGGGGTGTCCTTTGGGGGGTTCTCTGGGAGTACGGGGTCCGGGGTACTCTGCTGAGGGCCGTCCGGTCCCTGTATGACCGGAGCCAGAGCTGTGTTCGCATTGCCGGCAGTAAGTCACACCTGTTCCCGGTGCATGTTGGCCTCCGCCAGGGCTGCCCTTTGTCATCGGTTCTGCTCACTGTGTTCATGGACAGAATTTCTAGGCGCAGCCAGGGGTTGGAGGGGGTCCGGTTCGGGGACCACAGGATTTCATCTCTGCTGTTTGCGGATGATGTCGTCCTGTTGGCTCCAACAAACCAGGACCTGCAACATGCAGTGGGACGGTTTGCAGCCGAGTGTGAAGCGGCTGGGATGAGAATCAGCACCTCCAAATCTGAAGCCATGGTGCTCGACCGGAAAAAGGTGCCTTGCCCTCTTCAGGTGGCTGGGGAGGTCCTTCTTCAAGTGGAGGAGTTCAAGTATCTCTGGGTCTTGTTCACGAGTGAGGGAAGGATGGAGCGTGAGATTGACAGGCGGATCAGTGCAGCGTGCGCAGTGATGCGGTCGCCGTTGTGGTAAAGAGGGAGCTGAGCCGAAAGGCAAAGCTCTCGTTCCCTCCCTCACCTATGGTCATTAGCTTTGGGTAATGACCGAAAGAACGAGATCGTGGATACAAGCGGTCGAAATTAGCTTCCTCCGCAGAGTGGCTGGGCGCTCCCTTAGAGATAGGGTGAGGAGCTCAGTCACACGGGAGGAGCTCGGAGTAGAGCCGCTGCTTCTTCACGTCGAGAGGAACCAGTTGAGGTGGCTCGTGCATCTGTTCCGGATGCCTCCTGGACGCCTCCCTGGGGAGGTGTTCCGGGCACGTCCCACCGGGAGGAGGCCCCGGGGAAGACCCAGGACACGTTGGGTCTTCCCCGGGGCATTTCAGAGCATCTCCATACACATATGTATTGAGAAATAAGGGACTTTCAAGTCGATACGATATTTATTTACAATTCTGTGGAGAAAACAAAACAAACTCTTTACAAACTCTACGTCAAAGTTGAACAAAAACACAATCGATGCATTTATATTTCAATTATTGCGGAATAATCTTTATCAAAGTCATTAAATATTTCTTATTCAATAAATCAAAATTAAAAACAAATTTGATTTGTTTTCTGATTCTAAAATATCAATATCCGATAATTGGTTTTTTTGCATATACCCTTAAATATATGTTTGAAAAAGTATGAAGAGAGCATTTTGTGGGCGCTAAATATTGCAGGGGATGAAGCAAATCCTGACCGTTTTTGATGAGGGGACAAAGGTGAACAGTTTCAAAAACCTGACCTGTGCGTGCAGACTGTCCCATTCGCTGTGCGAAACCAGGCGGTGTCCAGCAGGGGGCAGGTAGATGGCCTCTGGGACCAGGGTGCAGTTGGACACCAGTGAGTCTGTGTCTTCCTGAGAGCGTGGTTTCCTGGGCAACGACGGAGTGTCCAGTGAGAAGGAGGAGAGCGAGGCGGAGTCACAGTTGAAAAAGCTGTCCTCTAGCTCAGGAGCCTGGCCCGCTCTCTCTGGGGCGTCGCCGTCTGTAGGCGGCTTGTGGGAGGATGCGGAGGAGTCTGGCTCTTTTCGGACTTTCCTTCCAGAGCTCTGAAAGAGGATTAAACTATTAAATTCCCTTGGAGTTAAACTCATTTTGGTCAAACCGTTTTTGGACTTTACTGTCGCCATCGTTTTCTTTTGCACCCGGTTTAATCTATTCAAGTATTCAAGTTTAAATTTGTTCTGAACCAAAATGAGCACATGCTTGAACTATACCAGACAGCAAGAAAGGCTTGTTATTGCAGAGTGATATTATACGCTTTACCTTTCTAACTTCTTGTGTGTGCAATTTAGCGCTATTTTTTTTACAGCATGCTTCTCATGTATTGTGTTAGTATTTTGTACATAGGACTCGCTTGAAAATGAGATACTTTAGTCATCTTTATTTATATACCGCCTTTTCACTGCAGGTCAGAATCTCAAAGCGGCTTACAATTGTAATTTTTGGGCATTTGTCCTCTCACTCCACGCAGAGATGGGAGCTGGGTCACCAGTACAGCAGGCGCATGCCAGACCTATTCAGAATCAGAATCATTTTTATTGCCACGTAAGTAACAGGAGGTCACAGACTAGGAAATTGCTTTGGCTCAGTGCAACAGTCAAAAAGAGATAATAAAAATAAGAATAAAAAACACTTCTAAAGAATACATTTAAATTTAAAATAGAGTTACAGTTACTATTTACAATATACAAGTGCACATGGTGCACACAATGTAAGGTGACAGCAGTACAGTGAAGTAAAGTGACGTATGATGGGCAGTAAAGTGACTTTATAAAGGGCGGGGGGACAGGTTAAGAAGTGTTCAAGAGTCCAACAGCAGAGGGGAAGAAACTGTTCTTGTGGCGGGAGGTTCTAGTCCTGATGGACCGCAGCCTCCTGCCTGAGGGGAGTGGTTGGAATAGTCCATGTGCAGGGTGAGAGGGGTCGGCTGTGATACGACCAGCCCGGCCTCGAGCTCGGGCGACGTACAGGTCCTGCAGCGATGGAAGGCTGCGGCCGATCACTTCCTCTGCAGAGCGCACAATGCGCTGTAGTCTCTGTTTGTCCCTGACTGTGGCTCCAGCGAACCACACGGTGACGGAGGAGGTGAGGATGGACTCGATGATGGCCGTGTAGAACTGCACCAACATCTGTGCAGGCAACTTGGCTTTCCTGAGCTGCCGCAGGAAGTACATCCTCTGCTGGGCCTTCTTGATGAGGGAGCTGATGGTCGGCTCCCACTTGAGGTCCTGGGTGATGGTGGTGCCCAGGAAACGGAAGGACTCCACAGAGGTGATGGGGGAGTCCATCACGGAGGGTGGGGGTGGGGGGACAGTGCTCTTCCTGAAGTCCACAATCATCTCCACTGTCTTCTGGGCATTCAGCTCCAGGTTGTTACCACTGCACCAGGACACCAGCCGGTCCACCTCCCTCCTGTAGGCGGACTCATCGTTGTTGGAGATGAGTCCAATGAGGGTGGTGTCGTCCGCGAACTTGATCAGCTTCACGGAGTGGTGGCTGGAGGTGCAGTGGTTGGTGTACAGGGAGAAGAGCAGGGGAGAAAGAACACAGCCCTGTGGGGCTCCTGTATTTATAATCCGAGAGTCCGAGACATTCTTCCCCAGACGCACTCGCTGCTTCCTGTCCGTCAGGAAGTCAGTGATCCACCTGCAGGTGGAATCGGGCACGTTGAGCTGGGAGAGCTTGTCCTGGAGCAGGGATGGCAGGATTGTGTTGAAGGCAGAGCTGAAGTCCACAAACAGGACCCTGGCGTAGGTCCCCGGGGAGTCCAGGTGCTGTGGGATGTGGTGGAGGGCCAGGTTAATGGCGTCGTCTACAGATCTGTTGGCTCTGTAGGCGAACTGCAGGGGGTCCAGGAGGGGGGAGGTGAGGGACTTGAGATGGGAGAGAACCAGGCGTTCAAATGACTTCATGACGACAGACGTAAGTGCTACAGGTCTGTAGTCATTGAGTCCTGTGATCCTGGGCTTCTTCGGGACGGGGACAATGATGGAGGATTTGAAGCAGGCCGGGACATGGCAGGACTGCAGAGAGGTGTTGAAAATGTCCGTGAACACAGGAGTAAGCTCACTGGCGCAGTGTCTCAGAGTGGCCGGAGACACGTGGTCCGGGCCAGGAGCTTTGCGGGGGTGCAGCCTCAGGAAGAGTTGTTTAATCTCTTTAGCGGCTATTGTTAGGCTGGGGGCAGGGCTGATGGGTGGGTTGTTAGAGTAGTGGGGGGTGGGGGAGGGAGAGGTGTCAGGGGCAGCATCAAAGCGACTGAAAAATAAGTTCAGATCGTCAGCTAGCTTGTGGTCGTCAGCACAGGGGGGGGCTTTGGGTTTGTAGTTGGTGATCGCCCCTCCAGACAGAAGCAGTATCGTTGTTACCAAACTGCTCCTGTAGTCGTTCTCTGTGCCGGGACTTGGCTGCTTTCAGTTCTTTCCTGAACTGATATTTAGCTGCTTTGTAGCCGCTGCGGTCCCCCTCCCTGAAAGCAGACTCCTTTGCTTTCCTGAGCTGCCGGAGTTTAGCAGTGAACCAGGGTTTGTCGTTGTTATAGATGACCCTGGTCCTTGTTGGAATGATGCTATCCTCACAGAAGTGAATGTATGACGTCAAAGTGTCCGTATATTCATCCAAACTATCTGTGGCAGCTCTGAAAAGGTCCCAGTCTGTAGATTCCATGCATGCGCGCAGCTCTTCCACAGCTTCATCAGACCACACTTTGGAGCTCCTCATTGCAGGTTTCGAGAGCTTTAGTCTCTGTCTGTGAGCAGGAACCAGATGTATCATGGAGTGATCTGAGAAGCCGAGGGCTGGCTTGGGAACAGCGCGAAAAGCTCCGCGCACGGTGGTGTAGCAGTGATCCAGAGTGTTCTCCTCTCTGGTCGGGCATTTGATAAACTGTCTGTATTTGGGTAATTCCTGGCTCAAGTTTCCCTTATTAAAATCCCCCAGGATAATAATCAGAGAGTCCGGGTATAAGCGTTCCATACACAGTACTTGCTCTGCGAGTGCGCGCTGAGCCTCGCGCGCTTCCGCGCATGGTGGTATGTAAACAGAGGCAAGAATGAATTAAACAATTTCGCGCGGGGAGTAATATGGTTTACAATGAATGAAAAGATATTCCAGAGCAGGAGAGCAGTGCTTGGAGATCACTGTCACATCGTTACACCAGTTTGTATTGACGTAGAAACACAGCCCACCGCCTCTGCTCTTCCCTGAGAGCGCACAATGGCGATCCGCGCGGAACAGCCCAAAGCCCTGCAGCTACAGAGGGCAGTCCGGGATCCGCTCATTTAGCCAGGTCTCAGTGAAGCAGAGGACACAGGATGTGGCGAAGTCCTTGTTTCTTCTCATGAGCAGGCTGAGTTCGTCCATCTTATTGCCCAGTGAGCGTACGTTGGAGAGAAAAATGCCGGGGAGAGCCGTGCGCGCTCCTCTTTTCCTAAGACGAACGAGCAGGCCTCCGCGCTTTCCCCTTTTACGGGCCCACACTTTTTTGGCTAGAACATGAACTAAATCAGCCGCAGATGCCAAGAAAACAGGCAATAGGTCCATGGGAACGGTGGGTCGGATGTTCATAAGTTCCTCACAGGTGTAGGAACAGCCAGATGCGCAGTTAAAAAGTAAAAACAAAAGAAAAAGAGAGCAGCAAAGAGCCATGTCGACCATACGAGGCGCCATCTTTGGTAGATCACAAGTGAACATGTACAGGTTTTTAGTGGTAGGGGAAACCGGAGTACCCGGAGGAAACCGGAGTACCCGGAGGAAACCTACGCAGACACGGGGAGAACATGCAAACTCAGAAAGGCCCGGAATTCGAACCGAGGACATTCTTGCTAAGAGGCGAGATTGCTATCCACTCAGCCACCGTGCCGCCCATACTCCATCCCAAGGGGTTTTCCCTAAGTAAATCAAATTCATATATTTTTTTTTACTGTGTGCTTTTAATCTCGTGCTACTCAGCATGTAGACTCCATAGACTGTAAATATTAACAGACATAGTCACGCTAAGGGCTGGCGATATAAACCGTATAAGCGGTATGCAATACATTTTAAATGAATACATGTTTATCCTCTTTTAAGTTGCTACAGTAAATGGTCTTTACTGTAACATACATAAAAAAAATTTATGTTACAGCATTTGTCTCAAGAGTTGTAAATGTTTGTTTTCATTTCATTTTTGACTAAGGATTTGTTTTTTAAAATATGTAGTCAATAATTAGGTTCTAAAAACTGATTATGAAATGTAATGATTCCTGTGTAGATTGAAATTAGGACTAAAAAGTGCTCAACCCGATCCACCCAAATGGTGTCCGTTATTTTTCTGTTCTCAAGTTGGCAACCCTACCTACTAACCACAGGGTCTTCAGTTCAATCTGCATTTCAAAAGCATGGTATCTCTTTAATATGGAAAAATATTTTATGCAAAAAATGTATTAAATACTGGATGAAATACTGGTGATTGTTTGTGGAGACGTGACACACCTGATTTTCAATCTCAATATATATACAGTACATATACACACATACATGCATGTACACACATACCGGTCTGTCGCACTTGTCTGTGTGTCTGTGTTTGTGTTTATGGTCCTTGGCAGCAGCTCCACACACATCACTTGTATTTAAACTTTAGAGGAGACCTGCGAGACGCGGCTCGTCACTCGCTGCTCTGACCATGTGAACGAGCCGTCGTTTGCTTAAAAATGCTTTAACCCGAGCACAGAAGAATAGGAATATCAAAAAAGCAGTTCTCTGTGCGCAAAGGGGCCGAAGCTGTTGCGGGTGTTGGCGCTGCTGTCTCTGCTCTGATCTAGTAGACCGCATAGCTGCACTTATGAAAAGTATGCGGCTCGAAATGGCTGTTATTTCAAAGAACGTGGGATATTTTAAACTACGCGGTTAACCGGTTTCAACCGGTTAATGAGGCTCGGTGGTCGGTCATGAAAAATCATCGTTTTTTACATCCCTACTTGGTACCGATGGTAAAGACAGGTATTGTGAAAAAGCCGCAAATGGAGGTGATGATATTTGGACATTTCACTGTATTTTACACAGAGACACTGTGCTGCAAGTCGATAAGAATAGATCGCGTTATGGTTAAGTTGTTTTGTTCATTTCAACTGAATCAGGGTCAGTTTGATGCTTTCTTTCTGATAATAACATAACCATCGACCTTACCATACTGAAGATGGTTAAGCTGAGGTGCTGTGTTAAAGTGCTTTTTTCTATCTACCTACTTTACCTTTGTGAGCAAGTTTTCTCTGTAATGAGCCTTAAAACAAAGCTAACATACAAATATTATATAAATATTGTGAAATTCCATTTACAATATAATATTGTAAATACATTACATTATTTGCACTATGAAAAACTCACTGTTACATATAAGTTTGAAACAGATTTACAGTTAAAACTAAGTGAGTATTAAAATACAGTGTTTTAAAGGAAGTTTTAAATAGATGTGTTTATGTGCACAAAAAGTTGACTTGTACCGTTTTTGGGTATTTTTGTAGAGCATCTTCTGGTCCAGCCCAGTTGAGATCCAATTAGGTTGTATTTGGCCCCCGGACCAAAATTAGTTTGACACCCCTGGATTAAAGGGAAGAAAATGGATGGATGGATGGATGATGCGTTTGTCTATTTGTGAAAGCAAATTTTCTAAATGTTCAGCTTGAGTTGTTGTGTTGCTGACAGATGTAGAACGTTTACATGGACAACTCCAGTAAAACAGAGAGCTTATACTAGCATCTTTTTGTTTGGTGGTTACTATTTCTCTTCTGCTGACTTTGTAAGATAGTTAAAGACCTTATGACGGGTTTTTTTAAAAAAAATAGTGGATATCAAAATTGCATGACAATGTCAATTTGAAAGAGATTCCGGCAAAAAAAATCCTATATTTTATAAAAAGAACGTGTTTTTCATGAATTTAAGTTGTCTATGCTCTAACCTGTGTGTGAGGTCATAGCGGGTTACGCCCATGCATTGAAAACCATGGATCTATGCCACAGGACTGCCTTTTCTCTCTTCTCTCCACTGATGCCCAACACAATACTGCACTCTACAGGTGACAACTGCTCACTACACATAAATTGCCGTTTTGAGTGTGAAAAAATGTCCGAGGTGGGAATTGAACACAAGTATCTGGATTGACAGTCCATCAACACAACTACTGGACTATCTCAGTGACAACTAAATGTTACATTCTAGTAGTTATCTTAGACTCGCTGTACACGGCCTTGTCATCTTGAATATCCGCGAAAAAAGAACGAATACCAAATTGTAAACAACTTACAGCGTT